ATTGGAGATACTGTAAGATTCGACATTAAAAACAACGGATGGAAACGGATTGCGAATGGATATCCTTATTTTCCATATATGAAATACTCTTACACACACGACCGCAATGAATGCCGGTTGAGTATCTTGAAAGGATACTTACCGCTGCTGGATACCTTGGGCTCAAGACTATCAATATATGCTTTCCTTTGCTGTAACTGTTCGTTTGCTTCTTTTAACTTCTCTCTGCAAATATTAATATTAATATCATCATCTATAATTCCTGGATTCTTGTCATTTTCTTTCTAAAAAGTTTATGGTAATGTCTTGTCTTGTATCCTCATTTTAATAAAGAAAAAGAACTCAATTTTGTCATACAAAGGATTTTTTATCACCCTCGCGAAACCAGGGGAAATCGTCTACCGCTGATTCCTCGTGATGGATTTCCGAGGATGGACATGAGGATTCCCGAGGATGGGTTTTGCGTTTTCATACCGTGTCTTTCGTTGCCTTAACGACGAGACAATACAAAAAAGCTAAAAAAACATTGTGACAATTCTTGGTCATGTGTCTTGAGCCCCAGAATAAAATGTAACTATACTTACAAATGTTCYTTGTATTTCTTGTCCAAATCTGAATCCTGCTCACTCGAGTTAGCCTTCTGTTGGTTTCGAAGATCATCCATCTCACTTTCAAACTCCATGATACGTTGATTCAAAGACCTTTGAATTGCGATGTAATTATTGGTTACGTACTACTATGCTAGTAAAGCGACCCATGATTGGTCCATTGTCAATGTAACGCGTGTTATGATTGGTCCATTATCGATCAACAAAATATAGTGCGTTACGATTGGTCCATTGTCAATCAACAAAGTAACGCATGTTATCATTGGTTCGTTGTCAGTCAATACTATAACGCGCGTTTTGATTTGTCAATAACAAGGTTTTTTATTTACCTGTTTTCCTTTTCAAGTTGATCTTTTCTCTCRTTAGCATCGTTGAGTAGACTTTGAAGAAGTTGAGTCTACAAAGAAATAAGCAATGAATAACAGAAAACTAAGTAAAAGATACATATACTTTATGAAAAAGGTAGCATAATAGTTAACCTGTTCGTCTTGTTCATCTTTTTTGTGCGCTTTTAATTTCTTATTCTCGTGTTCAAGTCTTACAATCTTTTCTCTGTTGACAATACAAAGACGTTGTATCATTTTGATTCTTCATTCCGAACAATTTCATTCATCTATTTAATCCTATACATTCTTTTATTCAATTTCTCAGTAACACCAGTGACTTACTTTACTTCAGGAGGAACGGACAGTTCGGCAATATCAGAAAATACATCAGAACGTGGTGGAGATGTGGGTGTCATTGATAATGACCCTRGAAAAGAAATAACATTTAATTTTAT